TTTGGCGATCGACCAGATAGTACACAAAATAATTTTGTCCCACAATAAGGCAAATGTCTTTAAAAATCCATGGCATTTATATATTACATTCATAGGTTATTAACTTAGAGAGCGTTGCCGTCAACTATGAAGGCCCCGAAATTAGAATTGAGGTCAAAATGCATGGTGACATACGTTCGAAAAACTACAAGATATATAAACCTTAACTCGGTACAAGGGAATAGCACTCAACTCTCTGCCAGTGTCTTAATAAGCACCACTACAAACATGCGGTGCGTAAGAGTCATCAGGCAGTGCCTACACCCGCATGTTGCGCGTGTGTGCGTGCACACATGGATGCCCCACGCATACATGCGCGTAAGTGTCAGGTAACATCAGCTGTTCGCCCGGCGCATCCCATGCCACATGACTTCAAGGACGACCTGCGGAGGTTTTTGTTACGCCCGAAGGCCCGATAAGTTGCGTTTTCTATTTAGAGTCGCCAAAGACGGGCATTTGTAATAACCTGTACCATAAATAATGCTTTAAATCGACTATAAACACTTTTATACCCGTCTTATCTAGATAAGGTGGTCAATATGCTCAAGATAGTGTTATAATTAGTAATACCTGAGCAACCCCTGTTTCATATGACGTTATATGTGCTTTAATTCGTAACGGAACTATGTGCGCATACGATTTACGTAATATACAATAAAAAAGGACTCATATCGATCAGTGTGCTAAATAATCAATAAACATAATCTTCTATAGTAAATAAATTTAATAAATTGACTACAATATTGAACATAATACAATAATTAATTACAATTGATGCACGAAATAATCTGGAAATAATCGAACAAACTTACAATATTGGAAGCTGTGGAGTCGCCACAGTGATGTATTCGCAAATAACCATAGAGAAATAGTCTTGCATAAAAAACAAGTGTATAAAATGGGACCCCGGTTAACTTGTCACCCCCTTTATTCGGGCTTTGGCAGTAATTCGGAAAAAAGACGTACTTAGCGAGTTCGAACCTCGTGCGTATGTGAGGAACCAACAACGACTAATTAAAATCAACGTAACAGCCAAGAAATTAGAATCTGAAGCATTATAAGGTAATAATAAGTACTGTGCAACAGTCAATCCTGTAATCCTTACAGGATTGACTGTTGCACCATTACGAAATGAATAACAAGTTCCCTTGATCCCAACAGATTCGATAGATGAATGAAGTTGTCCAGATTGCATTAAAAAATGTGAAAGTAAGCATACTAATGTATACCAGGCACAGATAAATAATATATGAGCTATATGAAAAGGCTCGAGTCTATTACGGCCGCCATGATGTAGATGACTTTAATGAATCTAGATTGTTCTTGACTGTAAAAAATACTTAACACTAATCATACTAAGTCGTTTAACATTCATACAATTAATGTGTATGTAAGCCATTCAAAGTATTATGCATGGAATTATTATGTTTAAGCACGTAGTAACTCAATTGTATTATATAGAATGTTTCTTATGTTTACTTCCAGGCAGTTTGATTTTCCTACGTGTAAATCCTTTATCTCTTAAACATAACGTAGTAAAATTTGTATATATAACCCACGGAGCAGATAATATTGACGAGATTAGAATTATCCGCTACATTCTTTGAAAAGAGAAATGTTTGGCATTCCTCATCCAAAGGCGAGGCTGGTGAAAGAACGAATTTTTCGAAGCGCACTAAACCGCAGCCCTCTCCGTATTAAAAAAAAATCAGAATCTATTCCTTCCGTCACCGTACGCACAACGCGCACACATTCAAGCCGCGTGTTCATCCGCCCAGCTGACTACGCACACATACGCAACGCCACACATAAATAAATAAACAAGAGTCGCTCACGCCGTTCGTACTGAGGATGTTGACTATTCGTAACGTAATGAGAGGGCGAAAAAAAGTACAAGAGGCATAGGGTGGCGGGAGCGGGACGGATGCGCTTGAGACCCCTCGGTAACGGGTGAAAGAGGGACGGCGATATATCCCGCGTTCAATTACGAAAGGGTTCCATTTTCAAAAGCTCGCCGGGAGGCAAGGTGCACAATTTTAATTGTGACCCGAGTGACGTGACGCAGCCATTCCGTACGATGTAAACCGACGTCGCGCGAGATGAGTACCAATAATTACATGCCCTAAAACATTCTAGGGCTCTCTGGAACGCTCTAGATGTTTTCGGAGCTTGACATAATAAAAACGCCATATCTATCTATTTTATTGCATTGGTTGAGCAATGAAATCAGGCAGAGTAGGACTGAAGATCTGACCATTATTCGATGGAGTTAAAGGGAGATGGTGTCCTGGACGGTGTCCCTATGCAGCGCAACAGCTTTTTATGCATCGTGTTGGAAAAAAAGGGGTACGCAGTAATGTAAAAAAAGTTGATGGAGGTGTGCGAAGCGAAAGTGGTGTAAGGATCAAGAACGTTGGCACCGTTCTCTGTCCACCCCTCTTTCAATTGTGTGTTATATTTTTAACAGTTGTTGACATTACAACCGCAGCAATACTTCGGTGATTTGTAAGAGCTATGACAAGAAATACCACAAGCAGGTTATTACAACAAGTAATCGATATTAAAATTGAAATGACAAAGAAATGCAACAACAATCCAATTCGACAGCACATCCATGTTAGTATTAATAATGTTTTTATGTGAGAATTTAGCAAGACAGCTGGCGGTTCACCTGATGTTAAGTGGTGACCGCCGCGTTGCAACCTTTTCATAGAGTGGGCTACGCCTTACCTCACTTACTAGACGAAACGCAGAAGCGTAACACTTCCACTACACGCCGGTCTTCTATAAGGTCGTGTGTGGTACTTCCCCGGATGGACCTGCCCATTCGTGCAACAGAGTACACCGTTGCGTGGCCCTACCGCCCAAATTGTAGAATTTACTTGAGATTAACTGTTACGGACAACTGTTTATACCAGTTTTCAACAGACACCGCCATCTAGGTATAGGAACAGGAATTAATTTAACATAAATTTACATGCTCCTTTACTATAATATAAACTTCTGTAATATATCACGTTTTCGGATTTTATTATTTTACGATTGATATCGCACAACTTTAAATAAAAATTTCTAAACTTCGAATTCCTTTTTGGCAGAAGTTTCATTTTGCGGTATTAGCGTAAGTAAAATAAATCGTTTTCTTTCTTAAAACCAATAAACACCTCAACAGCTTATAAAAAACATCTATATAAAATGATGCTATCAGTTAGGTTCTTGTTTGCGCTGTGATTATAATTACCTGTGTTAGGAAACGTATTTGGATTAACAAACTAAATAAAGATCTAAATTCTCTTCTTAGGTTTTTATATTATATTCATAATTACGTATAAATATTCTTTTAAATTCTTATTAATTGCTTTGCTTAATATTGAGAATCATTTAGATTTGTCTAGAGCGTCAGGCCGCGAATGCCGAAGACTTGGGTTCGATTCCAACAGCGGCGACAACCTTTCGTACTTTTTCTACATATTTTAATGATTCACTTGCGTTCACCACCGTACGGACTGGTAAAAAATGCTGTTGGTCCGCTTTTGTCTGTATGTATATAAAGCTACAACAAATGAAACACTTATTCATAGATACAACAAGTAACACCCTTTTTGACTGCATACAATAATCTTCGTTGAGGTTTCGAACCGCTTAAATTGAAACATCGAATCGCACTTAAATAGCATCGCTTCGAAACCATATCAGTAAAGCTTTTTGCTATATTCCGTGGGAATTATCATATTTTCGGCATTGTTTAAACGAGAACCCAATATACTTTTTGGCATCGGCGCAACTACGTCGCATATGTTCCCATGGGGTTCCGAAGGAACGCGTATTCATAAAAAAAGGATTGGCAGCATCCTCGGACGCAATTCGATACGCTGCGGTCGCGTTTACTACACATGGGAACGCGCTATGGTACAGCCAACAGTGCGAATTAACGGTGAATTTTATAGTATACGTGTGTATAGTAGATATCACTACATAGTATAAGACATAGTCGTCCCGCTGTCTGTCTGTCTCTATGTATGCTTAGATCTTAAAACTACGCAACGGATCATGATGCAGTTTATTTTACTAGATAGTGATTCAAGAGAAAGGTTTATATGTATACATTGCACCCGTGCGAAGCCGGAGCTGGTCGCTTGTATAGTATAAAACGTATATCAGTGGTCGTTTTTGAAGAAACCTCTTTCTCGTATGCCACCTTAGTAGGGGACGGCACAACATATCGATAATTTTTTCAATATTATTGGCTGGGTTTTTTCACGACCGGCCGTTTGCCTGTCAAACCCCCTTTGGAAGAAACGTCCTTAACAAAACTTGCTAATATTCGTGTGACACTATCCTATCTATCAGATCACATTTAATATCTAATATTGATTCAATGTCAAAGTTATGAGTTCCAACCCGAGAGGTTGTCGCTTAAAATTAATTCACTGAAGACCCTAAGTGATGTGCCACGATAAGTTTGGTCATCGTCTCAGTCGAAGCCGATTTTATCAGATCCTATACATCCAACCCCACTATTAATGACCGTTGTATTGATAAAGGTGCCAATCCAGTTTGTCGTGTAGCGCACTGCGGTCACGTGGTTTCCGTTAAATGCGGCCAAATTTTTGCCGTCACTACCTGGAAGGGCTTGCCAGTAACATGCCATAAGGTGATGATGTATTTGTACATATTTATCGTAAACGCGTATTTTTAATAGTGTACTGTCACCGAACTAACATTTTAACGATGTAGCACCTATCCCGTAGTATTTAAATAAAGAACATCAACTATTTAACACTCCGAAGCTACAAAGCCCTAAATGTATTGAGGATGATAAAATTTATTTGACCGTCTATGTATCGCACTAAATTTAAGAAATGTAAAAGTTTGTTAATATTTTTGTTTGTCCCTTCGCACCAAAATCGTCGCGGAATGGAGAATAGGTCACAGGAAACCTTTTGTCCTGTAAAAAGTTAATTATATCGTGCAGAACCACGTGGCACGGGTAAAGCCTGATGATTAATAATTCTATTGAGGCGCAAGGGACTGGAGAACACTAACGCCGTAAGCCCCGAGCCTCGTTCGAAGCTCTCGAACAATTCGCCGCGCCGGCACAGCTGTTGCATCAGCTGATCGCGCACACATGCGCACGCGCACACAGCCGCGCGCCCTTTGCGCGTGTGCGTACGGTCCGAGGCCGCGGGGGCAAAAAAGGGACTCGACTGACGGGCCGGGCTTTTGTACGCCATCCGTTGGTCGACACCAAAGACTATGCATTGCATAGAGATGTAATTTACTTTACTTCACTTAATTTATATATAGAAAACTTACAGCTTACATACAGCGATTAATATATAAATAAATAGAAAAGGGATAGCCATTTACAATTTTACACAAAAAGATCATAGAATAAAACTTGAGGTAGGTAGTGATAACGATAAAAAGAAGTATAACAATAATAAATGTATCATTAAATTAAATATAAAAAAATAACATCATAAAACTAAGTGGAAAAAAGCAAATACAATAACTTCAATTAATAGTCTTTTTTCTACCGTGCGTTAGTTTTTGTTGAGAAGATGGCATCGAAGGTGGTTGCCAATAAAGTTCTCATCCATATAAAAGGTCTCTATAAAAGGTCCCTGGCTGGTGGTGGCAAGTAAAGACTTACCAGATGATACGCAAAAGTATAATAGATCCATCCCATATTGATATTCAAATCGGTGATAAAGTTGATTGTGATCCAAGTGAAATAGTTCAAGTCTGGTTCATCAGGCAACGACCCTTTTGATGTCGGTTAAGCAACCAAAACTAAATGTTACGATTACTATTGGTATTGCTAAAACATCGTTGAATGTAAAGTTATTGCAATCGCAGGTTATGCTTTTCTTGTTGCCAATTCTAGATACTATCTTATAATTCTTACAAGTTACATCCTGCTATGCCAATAGCTACTACACAGGATATCCAGACAATTTTCCAAAATACCATAATATGAATTTGCAAATTTCGGACGGATTTGTAACGATTGTTTTTTTTTTTAACATGATATAATCGAGATAAATAGTAAAAATAACTTATTACTTTAATTATTGTATTCAAACTTTAAGCGATTCCATTTCAATAAAAATTATAATAAACTAACACCTTTTGTTACTTAATGGATGTGCAATAAATTAATAAATAAAATAAATAAATAAATATAAACGCATTTTTATCTTAGAATCTTAACTTCTAGGTATCCTAAACGCCTATAAGTTAGATTGTAAGATAAAAATAGTTACACTCTAAGTAAGGTTTTGAATTAAAATCCCTGTTAAATGTTTGTCAGTTGACAAATTTCCCAAAAAATTAAAAATCAGCTTGTAAAACTGTAATTATTTTGCAAGAAACTAATATGAGGAAACATAGAGAAGGAAATGAGAGATAGAAAGAACGAGAATGTTTATTCGAATTATTTACTGAGAATTCCATAGAATTAACAGGCGGAAGGGAAACACTAAACGTGATGTTCTGCTATAAGCTAAAAATGTTCTGCTAAAAACTAACAAAAAAATAAAATGTCCCCTCTGAACTCATAATCTATGTCGCAACATTGTGATTTGATTTTAAACCCTGTGTGAATACTTTCGACGTCATATCCGAGGCAGACCATAGAGATTTCCTTTCAAGTAAAGTTACCTGCTGCAATATTTTACCGCCGCACCATAAAAGCAATGACTTGGCTTAAATAAACCGAAGAGTTTTTTTTTTTCTATAGAAAATCTTTATCCTTGTATAGAATCTGGAGTACTTGCTCCATCAATATGCAAAATAAAGGCAATAGAGTTCGTCCAGGCGATTCTTTACGCAGATTGCGTTGGAAATATCTCAGATGGGGAGCACCGTCGAGTGAAATAGATACATATCTTACGGGCCAACCCTTCGTATCTTGCCGAGAGATACAAATATATTAAGGGTGAGTTTTCGAGATATTTCTGTAGTATCGCCACTACACAATTAGTCGACTAGACTTAGTTCTTATAAGTACTCTAATGAGTTTTCGCTTAAAGGATTTCATTTGTACAATATGCACAGTCCCAACTGTTCAGGCTTAATTTAAAGATCGATTTTTTGGAATATCAGTTAGGATAATTTTAACTAGATGGAATACAACTTTAAAGCTTCTGTTATCTTTTATTGAATGATGTCAGCATTTTCAATCCATTGACTGCAACTTGATAGAACGCAGAACTCGAAGAATTGGATCCTTTACAACTCCTTTGTATTAACTCACATAGTGAGTCACATAAACAACTAGCGTTAATTAATTGTTAATATCAGTAATACAGAGTCCCAAAATAAATACAAGCTCCACGTTTTTGATCGTAATGGCCACTCCGTTACGGTGGTCAGAGGCAGTTCTTATCCATTATTTAAGGACTTCGTTTGATCTCAAACGTGACAGGAGAAAAATTTTCGCCAAAAATGGAAATACAAGTCTATGAAACAACATACCTTTCTTAGAATAATCGAACTTATAAAGTTTATACAGTTAGAGGTAGACGCATTAACATGGAACTGAGAAAATTTTCAAAATGTCAATTCAAATGACAAAATCATTCATTTAAAACAACAAGATAAACGTAAACGTTTGACTCGAAAATTGGAGGAAAAACAAGAAGTCAACCGTTAATTGGACAAACGGTTAACAAGATAAAAGTGATTATTTTTTATTGCGCGGATCCGAACTTGAGACATTGCACTGGAGTGGCGGTTAATGGTTCTTACTGGTGTCGTTGACCATACGGTCTCTGCGGACATTGCAAGGAACGTTTTAGCGTTGCAATTACTTCGAGACTTTTTGCGCGGTAGCGTTTCTACTAACAGACAATTTACATAAACTTAATGATGGATTAACAGGGTTTGTTTCGCTAAAACGTCTGGCGTGAATGTGGGTGGTTCTTCGTGGTTTTTAATTAATGTATATTCTCGACTACTAGAAAGAAGAAAAGTGATGCAGAGAAGTGTAGATAAATTGTGTATAAATTATCCGGTATATGCTCGAACTTTATTTTTCTGTATTTAGGAGATACCCTTCGCTGAATAGCTTATTGTTTAGTAACTAAACATTTATTCTATTCTAATTGGCACCTGTTTATCGGAATATATTTGTCAATTTTTAAAACACCTTTCGTATAAGTTGAACGTAGGTATTCGCTGTGATTTAAACACTACATGCTAATATGAAACGGTTTACTGGATTTAATTTATAAGTTGGAATATTGTAAATGTAACTGGTCAAGGCACCTGACTGCTGCGTGTATAATCAAAAACCTGTATTGCGAACCTCAAAAGGGTGGTTAGCTAACCTTTAATAAGGATTTTGGACTATTACATTAAAGTCAAAATTTAACTTTTAGGACAGTAAATACAGCTTGTGTTCTATCGTCTTTTATGATTGATATATAATTATTGTCGCGTGGTAGACTATGTCCTAATACCCTCTGTATAGAAGAGGCCTTTGCCCAGAAGTGGGTCTTCTATAAGTTTTTATAAAAATATAATTATAAACGGTGATTACTTCGTACTCCTTTGAGTAAGTAAAACTAACGGTTTCAGCTTCCCCAAAAATTGTCTTAAAACGTTGTCTAGAGCCAGCTGCATTCTTCGTCTTCTCACGAGATCGTGTAGGTAGAAGAAGACAGGGTATTCTTTTCTAAAAGGCCGGCAACGCATTTGCAAGCCCTCCGGTGCTGAAGATGTTCATGGGCGGCGGTGATCACTTACCAGCTGAGCCTCTTGCCCCTTTTTTCCATAGAAAAGAAGGAGTACACAGAATCCTGTTCCCAACTTTATTTCCGTGTTCTTCCGGGCACACCTAAAGAAAAAAACCACTCGAAATCTTTTCTTCAAAATACATTGAACATAACCTTTTCATAGGCCGTTGAGCATATATAAGCTTCATCATTTGGTCTGCTGCCTTTTTTTTTTTTTTGTCTTTTTTTTTTTTTGCAAACATTGCCCTTACTTTAGGATAACGTTATCCTGTGTTGTAATGACATTTTACAAACATAAATTTCACGCGGACAAACACCCAGATGTGAAACAACTATCTGTGGGCCACACAAATAGTTATCCCGTGTGGGAATCGAACCCACGACCCCCGACGCCGAAGCCAATACCTTGGCAACAACGCCACGGAGTCATCATAGTCTGTGAAATAACACATCTAGTTTCAGTGATTCTCCACTGGTTATATAGCTTGGGTTTGAGGTACACTTGGTGAAAAATAGCGTAACTTGCCAAAGTGGAGATTTATTGATTATATCCACCGGTTTGAAGGTGGACTTGCCTAGTGACCGTCGACCACTTTAGGCGTTATGTTGAGATAAGAGTAACCTTGCTGTGACTCATGGATGACATAAATCATTGGATGTTCACCATGCAATATTTTTCCAGTAGTGGGGATCGAGCCCACACCCTCTGGCGTAAGAAGCGGCTACACTACTCCCACGCGAATCGGGTATTCATAGTTCTAGTAAACGACCTGCACAGCTACTGTATGCGGCGTTTAGAGACGATGTACACCTAAGGAAGCAGACGTTACGAAAATGGGAACTCACAACAACGTCCGATGCTAATGCATTCTCATGTTTGCTATTCATTAGCATCTAAGGCTTGCGTAAGGCACTTTAGTTTTATCGCTCGCGTAAATTTAGGAGTTCGTGCCGCTTTCGGGTTTAATTAAATAAGACTGTGTTAATCACTGCATAGGAAATAAATTCGGCGTATCACGGGCCGCTGCGATCTCCATATTTTGTAAATTCCGAATGTCGCGCCCGCTAGAATAATCAAATTTATGAGTGTTCCCCCACTGGTAATTGTTGACTCCCATAATTTTTAATCATACATATATCATTTAATACGAAACATATGTAAGTGTTATTTAAAGTTTAAAAGCAATTACGATGCTAATTTCGGTGTGTACTTGTCACTTATGCGTTAGTTTCGAAGATTTATCAGAACACACTTCCTCCGCTTAACGTAAAACTGTTGGGTAATTATATTAATGCTTATTAAGCATTTTTTATTCGGTGAATAATAAGTTGGTGAATGAACTCAACTTTAATAGGCGTGTGCCTCCTGGCTGCAATGTTAGACTTACGTTCTACTCGTATAAGTTCCTGGTTCGAACCCATAAATTAACTTTTTTGAAGTGAAAAATTCACTGTTTCACTTGTGCTGCCTATATTGGCGACCAAAGGTT